CTAAGTAAACATGTATAATATATAACCAAATAAATAAGAAACGTAGAAAGTTTATTAGCAAAACGAGTAAGAAAGCTTGGAGGCACATGCCGTGTATGTATACACCTTGATGTAAATTTTTTTTTTTATAAATGACACAAAGTTTAAATAAAGTAAAAATCAGCAAACAATGTGGAACCAATTAAATAAGAACCGAATGTGTAAAAAAAACTTCCAAAATCACCTTAGATAAACGGCAAAAGTCAACAGGCTTTTTAAAATTCAAAATATTGCCAAACAGGCGCTTTATCATCTTGTTTCGAAGCTAAATCATCCGCGATCGTCTTGTCTGTCTCACCTCACTCTTCTTGTCAGTCAGCTCGACTCACTGTCCTCACTGGAGAAATTAAATCTGATCTGTGATGCGACTGTCGTTCGGCACGCTGCATTGATCAGCCACGTTCAGTTTTTACTTGTAGTGTCTGTTCTTTTACTGAACTAAATGATTTTTATTACTAAAAAAAAATCAAAACGACGGTGGGGGTCGGTGGGCAAGTGACGTAACTGGTGTTGCGGCTTAACACCGGTATTACCGTCAGCACCGTTGTGTGTGTTTTGACCAATAAAGTACCAACCCCTTTTCTAAGCAATCAAACTTTATTTTAGAACTTGACAAATTTTTAATTTGTATTATTTATTTATTTTTTGCTTTAACTAACAAAAAAGTACAAATAAAGCACTAACCACTTTTCTAAGCAATCAGACTTTATTATTTAACCTTATATTTTCATTTTGTGTTTTTTGTGTGTTTGTTTGTTTTTACCATACTTTATAACCTGATATTTTTGTTTTGTTTTTGTTTTGACAAACCACTTTTCTAAGCAATCAGACTTTTTTACCTTATATTTTCATTTTGTGTTTTTTATCTTGTCTTTTTTTTTGTTTGTTTAGACCAGACTTTATTTATAACCTGATATTTTTGTTTTGTTTTGACCACTTACAAAAATAAAGCACCAACCACTTTTCTAAGCAATCAGACGTATGAGTTTTGCTTGATGGATGATAACAAGCCAAAACTAAATGCCACAGATTCTTTATTATTTATTTGTGTATATTTATATACTTTACATCTATGTTTTATATATCTATATTTTATGTGTTTACTGTACCTTTATCTGTCAATGTACTGTGTATTTTGTTTAGCTGGTGAAGCTATGCATCGGGATGATAGATGCTGGAAAGGCGTACAACACGGCCAACAGGCAGTTTGTGAACGGGATTCAGGAGTTGGCACAGACTTCTGCCAAAGATGTAGTCATCGAGGTGAGTGCAGGCGATTAGCGTAATGACCAATCAGCTCTTATTAGCCCAGGGGCTTTCAGAATCACAAACCTGTTGAGCTGCTCGTCTGAAGTGTCCCTGCAGCGAAAGCTGTGTTTGGTTTGCTGTACTTTGACTAGTATGACGTGCCAATTGAAAGACTGCTGTTTATTTGGTGATCGTTTGAAAGCAGGCTTGGTTTGTGTTCACACAAAAACATTGGCTGCATTCCTAGCCTTCGCATATTTACTTTCTTCTTTGAAATATCCATTGTGCATTGTACTAGGAAAACATACCAGTGTATTTGCTCGCATATGCATATGTATATGTGTTTCGCAACCTTTTTGTGTTGTTACTACCTCCACAGTTCCATCAGTAAGAAACCCTTCATCAACACCAAACCTGAAATGTGTTCATTATAAAGTCCTGGATATGTTTTAGCATTATTTTGTTTTGTTTTCTTAAATAACCGAATGTTATTGCGTTTAAAGGGACACGGTGATGGTAAAAGAGAGAGAGAGAAAGAGAGAGATTAGTGAAAAATTACATTTCAATGCTTTTGCGTTCTTTTGCAAGCAAAAAAGTTGGGGGGGAATGCAATATTTTTGTGATTGAATGCAGTAGTTTTGCCAGAGAGCACAAATGCTCGGTGCGCAAATACAGAGTTTAACGCGAGAAAATGCAAAAAAAAATGTTCATCACCATGAGCCTGTTAGTGTTCAATACAGTAATGAAAAAAAAATGCAAGTGATGTTTTTTTTATATATATATTTTGACAACCCTATTTTTTAAAGTCATCATTACTCTTTTGTAGGCTAGATTTAACAAGTATAGATTTGTTAAATACATATTTTTTTTAATTGCAGTATATTAAGATATAGAGGTTTGATGACCATGGTAGTATTTGTTTTACTGAATTTATACGGACTAAAAATAAATTTCATTGTATACAGTAATTTATTTACTGTAATTAGTTTTATTGTAAAACAATATGAAAGTCAAAATGAGAGCTTGGAAGGAAAATATGGCGAACATGTCAAACTTCAGTTTTTAAGATTTTATGTTTTGTTTTGTTTTGAGTAGTGCTGTCAATCGATTAAAAAAACTTTAATTAATCCCACCTAACATTAAAGCTTTTAAATATACTTTTATATTGCAATAATTTCACATTCAATCTTCAAATTAATGTACAAACAACATAAAGACGATATATTTTTAAATATTTGTTACGTCACCTTATGACTGAAGGCCAGTATCAATGATACCAATACTGATTTCTCTATAAAATTGCCCAGTTTTAAGGCAGCTTTAATGGCCTTTTGGTAACTTCATGACGTAACTGACCACGGCTTTGCATGCATGTAGTTTATTTCACGCTTTGATATTAAAGGATACAGGCTACAGCATGCGCCGGCGCCTTTGTGTGTACAATTGAAGAGCACGCGCTGCGAGCACAGTACCGTTTCCGCGCTCGCTTGACTCGCGAGCCTGGTGCTGGAGCGTGCGTCTGAAACGTCTCCCGTTCTCAGTCGTTCTGTGACTGAATAAATGCACTTCTTGTCAAGAGAAAAAGTGACAGAAGCAGCAATTGTGAGTGGGGTGGCCAACACTAGCCCCGCCCCTGCGTTAATTGCGTTAAATATTTTTAACGTGTTAAACTGAAAAAATGAATCGCCTGCGTAACATGCTAATTTTGACACCACTAGTTTTGAGTTGTTTTGTTGTTTTTGTTTTGTTTTGTTTTGAATCGTTTTACTTTTTTTTTTTTTTTTTTTTTTTTTTTTTTTTTTTTTTTTTTTTTTTTTTTTTTTTTTTTTTTTTTTTTTTTTTTTTTTTTGAGTTTATATTTTTTGTGTTGTTTTTTGTTTTGTTTTGGTCAAATGTGACTTGGACACATTTTTTTAAAAGATTTAGCTTAGTATTTTGTGCATTTGTGATAAATAACCAGATGTGTTTTATTAATATTTTTCCCCCTGTTATTTGTAGTCTTGACTCTTTGCTGGCCCTGTGTAAAGTTCTCTCATTTCTTCACAGTCCAGCCTGAGCAAGTTTGCAGAGAATCTTCAAGAGATGATCAGCTATCACACAGTAAGAAAATCTGGGCAAAAAGCTTTTGCCGTATTGCATTATTGTTTATGACTTCTCCTTTTTTCTTTTTTTGTCATGTTTGCGTGTGTATTTTTGCAAAAAAAGAAAACCGCTAACCCTAAATGTGCTGAGAATGGAGAAATGACCACAGTTATATGACATGAATCCGTGTATCATTCGATCATTCGTTTTTTGATTTAATATTGAAAGTAGAAAAATGAGAAAACGGCGCTCTTTTCGTTTTTTTTGTTTTTTTTCCAAAAAAAACGAAAAACGAAAAACGAGAATTCAGCTTAAATTTTCGTTTTTCGTTCATGGGTGGAAAAATGAATAAACAGCTTGAATATTCGATTTCTACACGTGGGCGGGAATTAAACGCCCCTTTCTGCTGATTGGTCAGCCGAAGATCAAACCCTGCCATCATCAGTTCTTCTGCAGTATCACGCAGCAGAATAATAGTCCTCCACTGCTGCAGTTGTATGGATTCTTAACGCATTTTATCAATTTCATATTTTTCTCATCAAACAGACTAATAGCTCGACACAACTCGTACCGGGGCTTTCTTCTGTGTAGACCAGCGGTTCTTAAAGTGATAGGGGGTCCGAGAAATAATTTGCTATAGCCTAAAGTATTTCCAGACTGTAAAGTCGCTTTTTTATCATGATACATTGGCCTACTGTGATTTATTCCAAAGTGACTTATATGATGCATTTAATGTAAAATAATCTAAATGAAGCCTTTTAAAAGACAAGTATTCCCTGTGGTTCATGTTTGTGGCATGCCATTTTGTAGTTATTTTGAAGTACTTATAGTTATTAGTAAAAATAGTAGTAATTAGTAAAAATTCTTGTTTTTCGTTTTTTGGATAAAAAACAAAAAAGGAGCCGTTTTCTCATTTTTAGCTTAGTAAAATTCTAATGAATAAAATTTTAAATTGTATGTTAAAGGGTTAGTTCACCTAAAAATGAAAATTAGCCTGTGTTTTACTCACCCTCAAAGCATCCTAGGTGTATGTGACGTTCTTCTTTCAGACGAATCCAGTCGGAGTTATTTTAAAATGGTCCTGGCCCCTTCAAGCCTTACAATAAGAGGGTGTTGGTTGTCAATAGTTCAGAAGACGTGAAATAAAGCGCATGCATCCGTTATAAAACCTCCCTCACACGTCTCTGGGGGGTGAATAAAGGCCTTCTGTAGCGAATCCATGCATTTTTGTAAGATAAATATCCATATTTCAAACGTAATAAACACTTTTTTCTCCCATCCGCTGACTGTGGTACGCAGAAGTCGTTCGGGCGGATGACGTATGCGTCGTGCGCGCGCCTCTGAGAAATGCAGAAGCAATGGAAACAAAGTTTCCTTACTTTAGCAAAGGAAAACCAGTCTCCTCTTGGCTTATATCGAAATCCTCCGATATTTTTCTTTGCAAATCTTCGGTTCTTCCCCCGGAGACGTGTGAGGGAGGTTTTATTACGGATGCACGCACTTTATTTCACGTCTTCTGAACTGTTGACAACCAACACCCGCTTATTGTAAGGCTTGAAGGGGCCAGGACCATTTTTAATATAACTCCGACTGGATTCGTCTGAAAGAAGAACGTCACATACACCTAGGATGCTTTGAGGGTGAGTAAAACACAGGCTAATTTTCATTTTTGGGTTAACTAACCCTTTAACAGTTGATTGTAGAGTTTTTAAGAGCTGATATCAACATCTAGCGTATCCGATTAACAGATTTATTTGCTGATATGTATTTTAAATGTGTAAATTTAAACATTTTCAAGTATCTGTGAGGCCGATATATCGGTTTATCAATTGTGAAAATTATTAAAGTTGTCAGTCCATGCCACATGGATTTTCTACGTTTCAGCACCAAAACAACGTGTGTTGCGCAATACAACTTTATATGCTGTATTTTGTCATCCGTTTTTTGAGTACAGACCATCAGCTTTTACAGCCGCCAAACCGATTTATCAGTTCATCAATAGACTCCATACACAAAGCTAACGCCAGAGTTTATAATGGCACGGTTTCAGCAGTCGTTGAGTGCACATTTAAGGAATGGTATTGCTGTGCGCAGGGACCTTCGGAAATTTAAAGAAGCGAAGAAACAATTTGACAAAGTGAGCGAGGAGAAAGAAGCAGCCCTGTCCAAAAATGCCCAGGCGCCTCGAAACAAACAGCACGAGGTGGAGGAGGCCACCAGCATCCTCATCGCCACGCGCAAGTGCTTCCGCCACATCGTCCTGGACTACGTGCTGCAGGTAAGAGCTAGTTAAATACCGCAGGGACTCAGGGTTAAACTTTGTACTCAAACAACCTTTGTACAAATTCCTGTGTCATTACATCACAGTCACAAGACGCAGGTAAATAATATAGATTTATTGGCATTAATATAGCATTTATGGTTGTTTGCGAGAGAAAGGATGTTTGAAAGAGAAAAAAAACTTGATCAGTTCTTGTCACACAATACTTGTGTCCTCTCATTGCTCTTCCTGTGTTCTGTAGAGACCGCACGCGCTCAGTTGAAATAATTCCCCTTTGCGAGGTCAGTCTAGCAGCTAGAATTCAAATGACTTGAGCGTAATTACCATAGGTTGACCTTTCTCTCAAAATGATGTGTAGCAGCCCGGAAACTGTTAAATCTCTCCAGTGAGTCTGTAGTCAGTGAGTGTTGTAATGTGTGTGGTTTACAGGCGGTCAGTGTGCAGTGTATTGCGCCCCCTGGTGGCTCAACGAAAGAACTGCTTGTTTCCAGTCAGTTGTGAAAGAATAAAGGATGTGCGTTTGGGATTTCAGGAAGCAGATGTGATAGATTTGATAATGCTTTATTATTGAAGCATTAGTGGTCACAAGTGTTCATTTTTATAGTTTGTTTTTGTTTGTATGCTTTAGCCAAAGTCCTTGACTTTTTTTTTCTTTGTCATGTCATAAGCATTATTTATATATCTATTTGGTTTTTCATAATTTTACTGTGATCAAAATTGCATATAATATTTTAGTTTAGAATATGTGTGACGTGAAACCGTGACCAAATTTATAAACGTTTATAAAACTGTATATCCAAAATATGTGCACATGAATACATGCATAATATTACTTATCTTGTTGTTTGGTGAAGCAAAAAAACAAAAAAAGTCTCTGATTTTGTTGACGAAATGTTAACTCTGATATTTCCTATTGGGAAAATTCCCAAATTAATGGTGACCTCATGGATTTAATGTTTCACTTTTGTTTTAAAAATTGATGTCAGTAAAAAGTACCTGTTCTTTTAAGTAGGGAATTAATTTTTTTGTTTTGTTTATATTAATCTTATTATTTTTCAGATTAATGTGCTGCAGTCCAAGAGACGATCAGAAATCCTCAAATCGGTAAAATATTCTTACTCATGATTTATAATTAAGACTTAAGATTCATATTCTCATGTTAGTTGTATTATTAAACCTGTCGTCTGTTGTACAGATGCTGTCTTTCATGTACGCACACCTGACCTTCTTCCATCAAGGTTATGATCTCTTCAGTGAACTACAGCCCCTCATGAAACAACTGACCGGACAGGTACATCACAATCTGTCTGTCTGTCTAACATGCAGTCTGTTTGTTTGTCTGTCATGCTATCTATCTATTTATCTCTGTGTGTCTGTCTGTTGTACAATTTATTGGTCTGTTGTGCGATCTGTCTGTATATCATACGATCTGTCTGTCTTGTCTGTCTCTGTCGGTTTGTCTGTCTCTGTCTATCGTACAGTCTGTCTGTGCCTGTCTGTCAAATAATCAACCTGTCTATCGTACAGTCTGTCTGTCTATCTAGCATACAATCAATTTATCTGTTGTGCCGTCTATCTGTCGATTGTATAATCTATTGTACGATCAGTGTGTCTGTCTGTCATACAATCTATTGTACAATCTATCTGTCTGTCTATCATATGATATGTCTTTCTCTTGTACAGTCTGTCCGTCTATCTATCATGCAAGCTATGTCTATCGTACAATCTGTCTATTGTACAAACCGACTGTCTGTCTTTCTGTCTCCATCTATTGTACGATCTGTCTGTCAAACGTACAGTCTCTCTGTTTGTCTGTCTGCTATTGCACGATCTATCTGTCTGTTGTACGATCTATCTGTCTGTTTGTCTGCTATTGCACGATCTATCTGTTGTACGATCTATCTGTCTGTCTGTTTGTCTGTCTGCTATTGCACGATCTATCTGTCTATCGTACGATCTCTCTGTCTGTCTGCTATTGTACGATTTATCTGTCTGTCGTACGATCTCTCTGTCTGTTTGTCTGTCTGCTATTGTACGATCTATCTGTCTGTCGTACGATCTTTCTGTCTGTTTGTCTGTCTGCTATTGCACGATCTATCTGTCGTACAATCTCTCTGTCTGTCGTACAATCTTTCTGTCTGTCTGCTATTGCACGATCTATCTGTCTGTCGTACGATCTCTCTCTGTTTGTCTGTCTGCTATTGTACGATCTATCTGTCTATCGTACGATCTCTCTGTCTGTCTGCTATTGCACGATCTATCTGTCGTACAATCTCTCTGTCTGTCGTACAATCTTTCTGTCTGTCTGCTATTGCACAATCTATCTGTCTGTCGTACGATCTCTCTCTGTTTGTCTGTCTGCTATTGTACGATCTATCTGTCTATCGTACGATCTCTCTGTCTGTCTGCTATTGCACGATCTATCTGTCTGTCATACGATCTATCTGTCTGTCTGCTATTGTAGGATCTGTCTGTCTGTCGTAGGATCTCTCCGTCTGTCTGTCTGCTATTGTACGATCTATCTGTCTGTTGTACGATCTATCTGTCTGTTTGTCTGTCTGCTATTGCACGATCTATCTGTCTGTCGTACGATCTCTGTCTGTTTGTCTGTCTGCTATTGTACGATCTATCTGTCTGTCTGCTATTGTACGATCTATCTGTCTGTCGTACGATCTCTCTGTCTGTCTGCTATTGTACGATCTATCTGTCTGTCATACGATCTCTCTGTCTGTCTGCT